AAATTTGATCACGTTCAGATTTTTGATATCTCCTTAAGGGACGCTAAAACCTATCAGAAAAACCTAATTTCATTGTCATGGTCCGGGTATATCACCTGGAAATTTGCGAAAAACGGGTCGCTCCATATACGGTTATTATCTCCTATGAATTTTACGAGCGAGAAAGAGTTCATCACCTTATATCATAAGTAAACATTCCGGTTTAATGGTACCAGCCATATTAGCAGACGTAACGGAGAATGGAATGTTCGATATAGTTGTTCCAGCTTTCAATGCAACGATAATGGCTTTTGACGGTCGTAATGTTATGGAATTATACTTTCCCGGTCAGTAATAGTGTTAGTGCTATTGTACCGGAACATTTTAACCACGATAATATCAGTGATTTCATGGTCAGGTATAACACTGGTCCAGGTTTTACGGTATATTATTATTCGCAAACAACTATATTGGATGGACGTACCGTTATTGGATTCAATGACGGCGGATTCAGGCGGTGCCAGTTGCCTTTTAGATGGAGTTACAATATCCCAAACGTTTGGTGGTGATTTTTTCGTGCACTGCCGTGACAAAGAAAACAACATGAGTTTATACCAGGCCAACTTAATAAAGCCTTCAAATTAAAATGAAATAATAACTGGAACGTTTTTATTTAGACAGTGATATAATTTTTGCAAGCACGTGCTGATAGCTGTCGTTTACGTTACAATACCTCAAGTGTTATCAAATTATACGCAATCGCCTGTCACATCGAACCACCGGGAGCGTTATCATTTAACACAGGGTATTTTAGCCAGGATTAATCTGCATGTTTTTACGCCCGTCATCGAAGGATGAGGATTATATTGATTTTGTCAAAACGTTTGCAACGCCCATTAGAAAGCTCGGTGACCTCACAAAGTATATTGATTCTAACTACATAAAGTGTACGATTTGTTTATTTTTTTTTTGATTTATTCCTTAGCATTTAAAACTTTTTGCTGTTTGATCGATAAAAAAAGCAAAAAATTTTCAGAAGCTTTCTTTTTCATATACAAAAATGTATGAAGAAGATGTAATATCTGCTGATATAGGTGATGTACGAGTTCGAAATATTTACTTGAGCTAATTGATGGAATCGCTCTTTCCTCCACCATTTTCCATTTGAGGATGTGACCAGTCTACAAAAATAACATTACATTTAATACAAACTAAATTAATTAGCTCGTACTTACCATCATCAAACAAAACTAAAAAAAACTAAACTTACACCAAAAAATGCAATAAGAACAAGAAATTTACACCATACAGCAAATGAATTTTATAAATTGATTATCTCTTTCGCCTAATACTTTTATACTTTATCTCAACTTTGGTAATAATTTAAGGGAAAATGTCTAATAATCTTACTTACCATTCGTGAGCCAATACATTTATTTACCAATTAAAAAGTCATAGAATCGAGTCAAACTGACAAATTGTCATATTACATATATATTATGTAATTTTTTTGTTTATTTTTATATATTACATTTTAAAATACAAAACAGCATTATTAATTAAAAATTCTGTTATATCGTATCCTGCATTGTAACTTGGGCACAAACTTCTATAAAACCATCAAACAATGCATAAAGCTAATGAAAGGCCTGAAAAAGACCTTTGAAGAAAAGGCATAATGCAATGAATGCAGATGTTTTATTGACTATATAGAGGTTTATTCAGAGCAAGAGTAGAAAGCCATTATCTATTATATTCGATTTGACCTCAATAATTTCCAATTATCATTAGTTTTCATTTAAACATTAAAGATGTTGTGGAAAACTTAATCAAAACTTATGACATACTGCTTGCATAGCAGTGAGTATGCAAGCACTGCTTGCATAGCAGCATGAGTATCGTATTGCATTGTATATGAACGTAGCATTTCTCACTCTCATCTCTCGTTATCCACTAACTACTGCAATAATGTAGGCAAACCAAAGCAAAACACAAGCAAGCGTACTTCATAGGAGAAAAGAGAGCCGCACTTAAGATAGCAAAATGAAATGGGAAATAATTGAAAGATCATTACACAAATCAATGGAACAATTTGGGTGTTTACCTATGAAGACATCGTTTTAAATTTATTAAATTAAATATTTAGCTATTGTAATATATAGAGTTATTTACATGCTTTCTTAAAGGCTATCAGGGAGTAACTCCTCCTGACCAATTAAGTTATCAATATGGTTTAAAGCACGTTTGCAGCTGAACTTGAACAATGCTTCGCGTTTTATAACTTATTGAGATGATTTATTTCATCTCTATTAAGCCCTTCGATAGCAGATTCGCATATAAGTCGATAATGTCGCGAACAATATTCCGAAATGTATTCATTACGATGGAAATGTTGATGTTCGACTTTTTGCAACCGAAGATTTTGAAAACCTTATCTCATTAACAATGTACTCTCTATAGCTCTATGGCTTCTACCAAGTTACCAATGAGTAGCGTTATAGCTTAAGCTGCAACAAAACAATTTTTATCACTGCATATATATAAATAATCTCTAGGATGTCTACTTAATAGTTCAGTAAATGCAAGTGACATGATATGAGTTCCAACCAAATTTCAGAACCTACGAGATTATTTGGATCGTTAAAGTTTTTTGCGTTATTCAGACAAATAAATGATTTTATAAGATATTGGAAGGGCTATAAGAAATCAAATACATTGCTCTCTTCATATTAATGGATTCAACGCAGAACCGTAACAAAAAAAAACAATCAAATGAACGGGAAAGAACAATCCATGGTAAAAATGCGGAAAGCTATTTCCATAGGATGAACTGTTCATTAACTCTCGGAAGTTACAACATCGATTTTCATATTACCACAGTAATTGCGTGGCGTTGTCACACAATCACAAAAAAAAAACAGTAAAACATTATGATAGCGCAAGGCCAACCATCTTTGTGTGAAATTACTATTATTAGTCAACCTTCATCACTGCATATTGAAACTTAGACTTTTCTGCTCTACAAAGGATCAGTTTTCGTGAAAAGGACCCAAAAAATAGACCAGGGTGGTCTAAATTTAGTAAGGTTATTTTTTTTATTATGTAATTTCTATTACGAAGCATTGAAAATTATATCTTTTGTCGTATGATCTTTAGTTTTCGTTATATGAGAGGCATTTCAAAAATTGTCTCAGCCGGCCTAAAGTTTGCATGCTAATTTAGTAGGCCAACATACTACTACTTAGCCATTTTGAAAATTGAAATTTTTTCCATATAACAACTTTTCCGTAGACCGATCCGAACCATTTTCAGTAGCATTCGTCGCTGATTCAAGACACGTCACTGTACCAAATTTAATCAAAAACATCTCACGATTTGCGACTTGTAGCTTAAGCACAAATTTACATAGGCACACATAATTTCTCCTATAACGGGCACGGATACCATTTATTCATTTCAGGACTGTATCTTTCGGCACTCATAGTTCCCTCACCGCCGACAACGTGAATCGATTCATTATAGACGCAAATTCCAAAATCTACGCGAGCATTATTCATCGGTGCAATGTACTCAATTTCTTATTAATCAGATCGTAATACTCTGAGATCCTTGACATTTTACCGTATTTCCCGGATAGCAGAGTTATTCCATCGGGGCTCATTCATGTACGAGACAGAAGTTAGTTTACTTTTCGATACATCGTAGACTTTGCATATACCATGTACAAGTCTATTGCTACCTCCAACGAGAAACACATACAACGTTCCACTGCGGTATTTGGATCTATTTTTGAATTGAAAACCATCCAGCAAACACCCTCGCTCATGTTCTGGTGTCAATTGATAAGCTAATGCTCCAATTAAAAATTGATTGCACATCAGATTTTCTTTAAGCGAAGGTTCAGTAGTAACGCGATTCCTCAACAACAAAAACTGCTGGGAAGGGGCAAGCAAATAGAGCCAATTAGTTCCGCCAAATGAACCTTGCCTTTCTCCAGATCGTATTTAAGCAAACTTTTTGCAACTTCATTAACGTTATCTTCGGATTTAACGGAAGGTGATCGTCTTTTATTAATTCGCTGATCTATGCAAAAAAAATATTTAAGAAAGTTTCCAAAAAAAAAAAATTAATGTGAAATTAAAGAGATGTGATTCTTATTGTAAAAACTGCTTTGGGGTATACTACAGAAGATCTTTTTCTTAATAACTCTATAAACTTTCTTTAATAGCTCCACTAGACAAGCTTGTGCAATGTCCAATCTTCTTGGCATTCTTCAAGGTCTTTAGCATAGCATATACAGAAGACCGTAAAGGCAAAATGTTACAAAAACATTATGTATAAAAGATCGAACATTTCATTAGCAACATTCATTAGCAACATTATTGCAACATATCACCTTTAGTGTGTTATATTTATGGAGAGTAATGAAATTAGATTTTTCTGATAGGTTTTAGCATGTTTCACGACATATCAGAAATCTGTAGTCGGGTAATGTCTCTAAAAATGGTTATGACACGCGAAAGAAAATTTTGTTCTTTTCCTTCTTTTGTCTTTTTTAGGACAACGCTGATGAGTTCAATAGATTCGATCTCGATCGAATTTAATTTTTTTGCATGTTATTTTTGCAAATAATAATTTTGTTGGTTTTTCGATATCATTAGCAAAGGCACCCTCTTTTCGGAGCAGCTTCACGCTGCTCCCTAATTGCGTATTTCCGGATTTGTCTTAACTAAAGTGGAAGTAACGCAAAGATTAACAATTTCTTTCCCCGTGCCCTTATATGACATTATCATCGTCACCGTTATCATCACTATCGATTAAGATTAATTGAATGTAAATTTTCTGTGCATAGATTTTGCAAGGTAGCTCTTATCGGCCGACAAAATAAACACCTTATCATTCAACAAGCGAATGAATTAAACGTGGGAAATTTAAATTAAGCAAAATACTTATTTGAATCACAATATTCTGAAGCTTCAAAAGTGACCAAAGCAAATTATTTAACGGAAAATATCAAAAAAAAAAAACAAAAAAAATAAATAAACATGAATTTATTGTTCCTAGTAATTATTTTAAAAATGGCACTACTTACTACCAACATAACCGATGGTTATAGCCGAAATTTTACTTTCATTTATCGTAACTACTTGCAGCATATGTTGGATACTATCGACAACGAAGTGAAACCGTGCGAGAATTTTTTCGAACATGCATGCGGCAATTTTGGAAAAGGAACGCAAACATTGAACAATTTCGAAGATTTCGAAGAATTATCTCAATTAATTGAATATGAAGAAATACCGCCATTTTTATATAATCGTCAAGATCGTTTCAAATTTTTTGTGAACAATAGACATGAGTTTCGTACGAAAACTGGCATTATCTTAAACGATTTATATGATTTATGTAAAACCGCAGAGAATTTAAATCAACGTCACTTATGGTATCGTTTATTAAATGAAATTCCATTTCTGGCATCCGATCGTGGAGGGTTGATGAAATGGCCGTTTTTACGCTTTCAATGGTTAGAGTTTAGAAGTGAATTGAATTTAGATTGGATATTGCTGGCAGCCGAGTTCGCCGCTCACGGTTTCAATTCATTTTTGGAAGTGTTCTTTGTAGAAAATACGGTCTTCGTCGGACCGAACGAAAATATAAATTGTCCAAATCTTGAAGAGATTGCTAATGATTTAAAACCACTTATATATCGAGAACGTCATATACAAATTGCTTATATAATTGCGAACGAGTTGAGAACATTTTGCCGTCAACTAAATGGAGAAATATCATCATCAATGGAAATTGACACAATAGAAACGGATACAGAATTATTTAAGCAGCAAATATTGGATAAATATTTTCAAAGATATTTTCTAAGCATGAATTTTTCGGATATAAATCTTGAGAATTCACGAAAAGTTACCATCCGATTAAGACGTTTAAATGAAATATTTCTCATATTGCAAGCGACAGATGATCGTATCATTTATAATTTTATATTATGGCATATGATGCGACAATTGCATATAACGGATTGTTTTAATTTAATTGAAAACTTTGAAGATTTATTAATCGCCGAATATTGGAATTGGCATATATTCGAACCTCAAATTAATCGAGATGTTGCTCTCGCCATGTATCTCTTTCATACAACCAGATTTCAAAAGTATCGCCGTAAAATATTACTCAGTAATCAATGGGATCGTTTTTTATCTACAAAATTAGAACGTAAAGATTTTAATATCGAACGTTCTATAAAATATTACGCTCGAGATTATTTAAATCCGGACAATATTAGCACAATTTACGAATCATTTGATACGAGAACATTCACATTTTATTCTTTATTATTAAGAATTAAATGTCTACATATGCGTTCATCATTTTTTAAACCTTATATGGATGCCGAAGATGTTAATAATTCTCATTATTTTCTTAAAGAATTTCTACATTTTTCCATATTAATATTATATCGTCCATTAATACATTATTACGCTACTATGGCATATGATATGTGGTTGCAATCGTCGCTTCTATATCAAACAGATACATTTTACATTGTTTACGATTGCTTGCAAAGGCAAAGAGCTTTACAACTTTACGCTAATGAAAATGACGAGAAATTATATGAAATTGTGTTTGAAGAACAAGTTAAAGACATTTATAAGTTTTATGCGTCATTTATTGCCATACTCGACGACTATCGATTCTGGTTGGAGGGAGAAAACTTTTCAATTACGGAAGATTTCATTTTAGAATATTTCAATTTGGACTCTTCACGTATTATGTTTTACGCTGTAGCGCAGCAATATTGCAATCGCAATGATCATCTATTTAATCGTATTATCAATCGTAGCTTTATGAATATGCCCGAATTTCATGAAGCATTCAATTGTTCCGACGATGCGGCAATGAATCCACAATTCAAATGTATGACAAATATTTCTCCATATTAATAAATTGTATGAAAAAAGAAACTATTTTTAAATGTTTTTTTACGCGAGGCCGCAAAAGGTTTGTTCGCTTTATACGATATATACATACATACATTGCAGCTTGTACTATTATTCCTCGTCCTTAAAATTTTTATCGTACTCTAATGCGGGCAAATGGGCGAATTTAATATACTATTGAACATTCAATCCAATATTCAACTGAATATTATATTCAAGAGGCAATTTAATGTACAATTCCATATTCAATTCAGTATTGATTTCAATGCAATATTCATTATTCACCTTTATACTTAATTCAATGCTTAATTCTACATTCAATTCTGTATTGATTTCAATTTTTAACCCCATATTCAAAATAATAATACTCAATTCAATATTCAATTCAACAATCAATCAATTATTCAATTCAGTATTGATTTCAACTTTCAACTGATTATTCAGTATAACAATCGGACAAATATGCAATTTGGTATTCAATTCCTTACTCAATTCAAAGTTTAATACAATATTCAACTCAGTAATTCAATGCTCAATTTAATAGTTGGTTTAATATTCAATTCAACATTCAAATCAATATTAATTTCAGTTCGTTGTTCAACTTTATACCCAATTCAAAACTCAATTCAATATTCAATCCATCAATTTAATATCCAATCTATCAATTCAGTATTGATTTCAAATTTCAGCTCAATATTTATTTTAATAGTCGTCTTAATGTTCAATTTGGCATTCAATCGATTACTTAGTTCAATGTTTAATTCAATATTCAATACAATAATTCACTACTCAATTCAACAATCAATCAATTATTCAATTCAGTATTGATTTCAATTTTCTACTCAATATTATATTTAATAGTCAGCTTAATATTCAATTTGGTATTCATTCCATTGCTCACTTCAATGGTTAATCCAATATTCAATTCAGTAATTCAATATTCAATGCAACATTCAATCCGTCATTCAATTCAGTATTGATTTCAGTTTTCTACTCGATATTCAATTTGTATTTAATATATTCAAAATATTCAGTTCAACATTCGATTCAATAATAATTTCAATTCATTGTTCAACTTTATACTCAATTCAATACTCTATTCAAAATTCAATGCAATATTTAATTCAGTATTGACTTAAATGCAATATTTAATTTATTAATTATATGCAAGTAATTTAATACTCAATTCAAAGGTTGTATTTTGTCAATTTTGCGTTTTACTTATGTGGATGACGTCATTTGCGACAAATTCTTGCTATACCAATAAAATTAATATTCTAGTCTTTTAAGGCATATCAGAAATATGAGATGAGTATTTTTCGTTTTATACGAGTTCATTCTCATTCTTCTTCTCTTTCTTTCGGGCTATTTTGAACAATTACAATCAACGAGCTTTGCCTTTTTAAGAGAGATATTCAATATGCAATCAATGCCATCATGTAGATTATATTGGTTTTATTCGAAGACTTTTGACAAAAGAAAATTGGCTCCACTTGAAATTGTGTTGCACTTATTATCACGAATTGAGGTTCAACATGCCAATCAACGCGGAGCGCTGCTTAGAGCTGTAGAGCAATAAGTGAAATGAAGAGGATTTTTTCACGCGAGTTCTGCCAATGGATAAAACGGGGATGCACCATTGGCTACCTACATTTCAAATAATTTACGGCTCTATGTTACAACTTCTCCATCATCGGTACTATGTCAAGTAATTCTTTTCTCTTTAAATCCTTCTGTATATGTACTCATTTAGGCTAAGCTGCATACCCTTCACACAGTTACTTTTATTTGCTTGCCTAAGTTTGTGCATTCTTAAGCTCAGGCTACATGTTATACATTTCGGATGATTTGCAATCATCCCCGCTTTGCCAAATATTTTTTTTTTAAAACAGTTATGTATGCAAGCACTAATCGGATTACACTTGTATTAGTTTAACTATATGATGCTTTGTTTGCAGGCCCCCATGACCCCAGCCTTAAAGAAACCGCAAAATAAAATATAAATGAAAAAAAAAATGTCACTGGATTTAATTTCTCTTTGTAGATATTTACACAAAATACTAAATTTTCAATGTCAAATCTTCAACTTTTTATTCTTTGCAGATGGACATCCGGTGTGGCTGCCTTATTAAATTATATGGACTTATATTCTGAAGGGCAATCACTACAACCTTATCCCAGCTGGGAACCTAGTACCATACATGCATTTTTTACTGATATCGGCCGCATGAAAAGTATTCAAAACATTTGTTACATCTTTATAAGACTCGGGTGCCTCTTCCATAACGAGTTTAAGTGAAGCGCCCCGTATTGCTCCTCCCATTTATTCCAATCGTTCTAAAACGCATTAACCCACGGCTCTAATTAAAAGTTATAATTATAAATCTGTTCTATTTCATATTAGTAAATAGTTCTACTTACCGCTCCGTGACATGTAAAGCCAAATGTTTTCTGCATGAGTTTTTCCGTACCAGTTAACACATTGTTCCCATTGTACCCCCAACCAAAAAAGCAAAACAAGTTAGTCAGTAAGTTGATAATCTACTGGTATCAAAGGATGATGTGGAGGAAATGTTCGGGTAGAACCTTTGCGATGGATCACCAATTTCTTTTCCTTAACATCTACTTTTCTTTCCGTGGGATGTTCAGAGGGATTGGAGCCAACAGCATCCATCCACACTTTATCCTTAAATTTTTATACATTCGTATATATTCATAAGAGATTAGGTACAAGACAAATATTATTGCTATTGCATAACGTATGGTCTACCTAGCCGGAAATAAACTTTGGTTGTTCTCGACAGCCAGCGCGCAGTTAAAAATAAACGTTTCATCATTCATATATTTCGTAAGTTCACCATGAAAAAACCAAAAAATCATTCGTCGGGATGATATACCAAATTTTTACGCAAAAAAGATTATTTCTTATAAAAACACAACAAAATTCAACTTTTTTTTGGTTTCAATGCAACTTCCATCGAGTATTATGTATTGAAACACAACAAAATTC